ATAGCTATCTTTGGCTTAACTGTTGGACTTGGATTGATTCCAAGTGGAACGTTCCAAATTGTGTCTATGATAGTATGCATGAGTGTGTCCCAGTATTTCAGTGTTTTTGACAATGATTGTCAAGAGATGAACCATGACTTTGGAAAATAAACGCTGAAGGGTCTATTGGTTGTGCTGATTGCCTTTGGGGACAAGAAGAAAACCAATGGAAAACTGTTTTCTCAAGTGGAATTTTATCAGCTCATACTCCTCATCCAGTGATCAGAAGCCCTGTAGCATTTCTTCATTCAAATATATAAAATGCTGATTGTGTTGATTGGTATCAAGCTGACACTTGATCATTTATTGACATTCAGACTTGGGTCATGGGTTTATGGCTCTTTTGAAAAAGGCTGAAGTCAGTGAGATTTAAAGCTATAATAACTATTCAGGTACTGACTTGCCTACAGGATTGGCTGGGCATCCCAAGCTCTTTAAAAATGACAGTTCAGAATACTTTTAACCATATTCTGTAGAGTTATCTTTTATTGAATCATTAAGACTTTTGAAATTAGACATGCTTCAATATATTGACTCTACAGATGAAAATACTAAAGATTTCTGCACCTTTAAGGTAGAGAGCCATTACACAGCATATTGGAAATCAGTGTTGTAGGTGCTCCCCCACATCCTCTAAACATGCTTGTGTTAAATGTGTTCTAGTTTCAAAAGGAATGTGTTATTTCTAAGAAAAAAAGACTATGTTTCTGTTTTGTAGAAACTCAGCTATTTTTTCAATAGTTAGAATGTCAACTTTTGGGTTGAATCATCTCACTACTATAACATTTGATCAGCCAGGCAGCCAATTTTACTATGCAGGTTATGCTTGGACTCTGAAACTTTTTCCCATTACAACATTTTTAAGATCAGAATGGCAGTTTCGTAATGTCTTTCTACATTAGCATTAAAGTTTTATAGGCAATTATGTGAGAACCAATAAAAAGAGACTCCAACTCTGATATAATACTAAGTTCTTTAAGTGTAGCAAAATATTTCTGCAACTCAAGGCAGAAGGGAGCAGTTGTATGCAACATCAGAACTGGTATTTCATTTCATTTCACCAATCCTTTGCTCAATTAGATAAAAGCCTGTAACACCACCACTCCATGAAGTAAGGCAAGGAGAAAAAGTCAGCTTCTCAATTCCATGTAAATTATAGTCTTCTATGACTAAAAACATACTTTTCAGTACTCTTTGTCTTGATCCATTAGAATAATATAAATTCCATTAGCTTTATAGGCCTGCAAGAGAACCTCCTTTTTTTAGAAATTGATCTTAAACACTTGAAACCAGAAAAAAAAAAAAAATACTAACTTTGAGAGAAAGGACTAGGTTCTTTCAAGAGTGTCCTAAGTAGAGAGCACAGCAATGAAACCACAAAAATCTTCAAATAAACTAGAGTTTAATTTTTCTTAGAATCAGTTACAATTTTTTTCTTTCTACACCTAAAAGAGGCAAATAACAGAACGAGAAATCCTCTCCTTGAAAAGAAGCTGATTTCCATGGGTCTGTGGCTTTCTAGAGATCATGTTAAATAAAATCTGTGGGCTTTCCTATGAACTACAGCCATTCAAAAAGGTTTACTAGAGCAGAATTGATACAAGCTCTGTTGTCACAGTAAACATTACAGCAGGCAAATATCAGCAAGCCTTTTGGTCAGGTCAGTTTAAGATAAGAGAAAGAAAATACTCAGCTGCTTTCTTGCTTGGCCTCAGGTTTGATCGTTCCAGCGACTGATGTCTGTTGAATTCCGTCTATGTATAAAAAGAATACCCATGAGGATTATGAATAAACCAAATAGAATTACACCTCCTGCTCAAGAATTTCAGGATCAGAGAATTACTGAGGTTGGCAAGGGCCTCTGCAGGTTATCTAATCCAAAGCCCTGCTAAAAGCAGCATCAGTGCAGCAGTTTGCTCAGGGCTGTGTCTAGCTGAGTTCTGAGGCTCTCCAAGGATGAAGACTCCCTAACCTCTCTGTGTGTTTTCTTGTGTTCAGGCAGTTTCATGTGCTGTCACTTTTGACTGGCTGGGAAAATCAGAAACTAATTTCTTAAAATGGCATCAATTTAGCTATGTTCTGCTAAAACATGATGGACTTTATAGAATCTTTATGGGCTAAGTAACCAGCCAAGCTATTCTGGTGATATTTGGCCTGCAAATTCTTTTGGATTTAAAAACTTTGTAATGTAGTTCATACTGTTGTTTTTCTAATTGAGAAAAAAGCTGTCTGTCCCTCTTTAACTCTTTTTCCAAAGCCAATTTTTTCCATAGATCTTGTTGAAAGAGCTCTCCTATGAGTTGCTCTGGGCTCTGGCACCAAAAGATGCTGCCATATAAAAAGTACTCCCAAAATTTACTGAGAGTGGGTGAGATCTTGAAGTAGAAAGCAGAAGACCAAAAGGCAAGATAGAAATATGATAAAGGAGACAAATCCACAGCTGTACATCTTGCCCCATCTATTCTTCACTGATTCCCTACAATCATCCTTGGCAGACTGGAAGGGGGAAGACAGGAAGGAGATATCAAGTTGTAATTCACGCCTATCCATTGCTAGATTTATTAGAACAGAGCCTAGTTGATTTGTCAAAAGGAAAGAAGCTAAGAATGACTCATCTCTTGGGGAAATTAAAATATGACAAAAAGCACCTTTTCCAGTTTTCTTTTTATTTAAAAACACTTATTTATATGAATGCTTTCTTAATGATTGTCCTCAATGAATTCAACTGTTGCACTGATCAGAACATTAATGGCCAATACATGGCAAGTGATTAAAGAGAAATCTTCCCATCTCTAAAGCAGTGTTGCCCAAAACAAAATCCTGTGTTCTACCAAAATATCAGTTGAAAGAATTCCCTACTTCATGCATCCTGTCTGACTCATGTGTTCTCTGACAGGTCCCATTGCATGGATCTGAATTTTGTAAATTGTTAATTTTGCAGATTCTCTCCTAAAATACATAGCACAAAACACTATGCAGTAGCTGCCAGCACAGTAGTCAAAATAAGCTATGTATTTTCCCACAAACATCTGCTAAATACAGGCTTACCTTCAGATGATCTTGCAACTACCTTAGGTCATAACTGAAGAGGTTTTGTACCTAACAGCCATCAGAGCAACCAACTTGTGGAAAACTGAGAAAGTCAAGTTAAATCCTGTATTTGTAAGGCTAAAATTGTCAAAGATGAAAAACATATCTTCTGGGGTTTATTTGTAGAGTGGCTTTTTTATTGTATCTTAAATCAAAAGTTTGGGAGGCTTCTCACACAAAACATTTCAAGTGTACACCCTGATTCTCTACAAGAGATTGAAAGCTTTAAAACAGGAAAAGCCAGTACTCTGTGCCTAAGCAGTTGCCATGGAGTGAATCCAAGACTGTGCCTTTGCCAAGGAGGAAGACATAGAAAGGTTTTCTGTATGATCATACTTACAGTCTTTCAGCATAATTCAGCTTCATGCCTTGCAGAGAGGCAGCCTAGGAAAGCCGATGAAGATGTTCAGAAGATGTTAGATGCTGCTATGTTTGCAAGGACAAAAGCATCAAAGGGATCCAGAATGCATATTTCCATTTTAGTGAGCAGCTGCTGCTTCAGGTTTGGATTGACACTTGTCATTATACCAGAATGTGAGATGATGCTCCAGTATTCCAGAATGTACACTTCCACCAAAAGCTGTTAATTCCCAGAAATATTCCTGCTATTTTTCCAAGTTTAAATTCCTACTGTCTTCTATTTGGGGCAAGTCAAGGAACCCTTTTCAAGCTGAAAATTGTATGGATTTACTCTACATTAGTAGTAAAGAGTCACTATCCAATGAGCTACCTTTTACATGCTGGTTTTTTCAGTTGTCTAAGCCCATCCCATCATTTTCTTAGCAAAACCTCATCTCTGAGTACAAAGGATAAATAATACCTGTAGGAGGTTTCTGTTTCAGATACTAAGTCATATCTCCTTGCTGGATGCTGCAACCTCCTGAGGAAGGTGGTTAGGTATTTCTGTACACAGTTCAGGGGAGAAGATTGGCAGGAACAGCTATAGGCTCCTTATTCTGGCCCAGAATTTCTCATGACATGGCCCTGAATAAGCAGGCCTAATTAGTCTGGAGATAAATTGGAGCTGGACCCTTCATGCTGGCCAAGCTCATCCAACAAAGTTAAGGTACTGCAGTGAGGGCTTGAAATCTGTAAGATCAGAAGAGATGCACTGCTGGGGGAGAGGGTGCAGATGGAAAAAGCAGCAGCCCTTAAAAACCAAGTGTTTGCATTAGAAAAGTAGTGCAGACATTAAGATACTATAATTTATGTAGTGGTTACTATGATCTGGATTATTCTAGAGCTCTGCAGAGGCTAGAACTACTAGCAGTAAAAATTGAACTTATCAGGCCTTTGGAATCACTTTCCAATACTCAGTACACACAAGTTATCCTTCCATGAATATTACATTTGCTTGCTTACTTTGAAACACATTGGAAAATTTGCTGTTATTCTAAGAAAGCCTCAGTGTGTTATTTCATATTTTTGACTGCTTGTACTTGCTACAGACCCCTGCATTTTCCCACTGATTTAGCATTAAGGCATTTGTTTCCATTATTCTCTCCGGACTACTCCATGACACAGCATTTTCCTATTCCTGGTAAGGCCATTACAGAAAAAAATGAGTCCTCTTATATTATTAGCATTTCCAGCCCTCCTTCAGCACTAAGATGAGGTGTCCTAACATATACACAACAACAGTAGACATCCCACCCAGGAAACCACATTTTAAGCCACTCCAAAGAGTAGTCAGGCTAGAACCGAGTTTATGTTCAAAGTCACTATTGCTCAACCATGTACACAATATACCATGACCTTTTAAAAGATAATGAGCATAAAATTGTAGCAAGAGCTGTTTTATAGAACTGGCACGCATTCAGGTTTAAATCACTACTGTACTGACATTCAAGAATTTCAGTCCCCATACAGACTGAGATGAACAGCACTTTTATTTATTTCAGTTACAAGAAGAAAGACAAGTAAACCTTACAACCAGAAAGGCAATGAAGGCCTCATGAGCTTAGTGAAAACCATTTCATAATCTAGGCAATGTTATGATTTCTTGAGATCACAAAGAAAGCATACCCCCCTCTTAAACAACTTTTCCTTGTTTCTGTAAGGAAGTTTCCTGTAAGAACAGCACACTGATGTTAACAGAATCAAGAGGGACCAGCGATGTACAAAGCCTACATTCACCCTCCCACCCCCCCACAAAAGGCTTAAGTGTAGATTTTATTTCAAAAAAGATAACATGCAGTCATGATCACACCTAGAGAAGAGGGGAAAATTAAAGTCTGTTTTGAAATGAAGTCAAATCATTATTCATTAATGAAGCTAAACGAAGATACTTTTCCACATGGCAGTGTACTTCACAGGTAAAGAAAACTCCCTTTATTTCAAGCCAATGCTTATCTGACTTTTGTAGTAAAGAGAAAATAGCTTACATAAAAACTGACCCCCCCTACCAAGCGCTCTAGATAAGAACTATGATGTAAGAAAAGTGCTAGAAACATGTGGGAGAAATTACTATACAAAGTGTCAAGTGCAACCCCCCACCCTCGACCCCCTTACCTAGAATTCAGTGTATTTACTGAAGTACAATAGAAAAGATGGAATTCAGGAGTGGTTGACAGTGGGATACAGTGCCACAGGTTGAACAATATCCACTAAAGGACAACCCCAAGCATGCATGTACCCCACCACAAGGGAAAGATGTGCTTGAGCTTCCCAACCTGCTCATTTCTGCAGTTAGCTCTAGTATTATTTCCTTCCTCATTACCAACTTAATTCTTGCAGTCCTCCGAAGGGACCACTTTAAAAAAGTCCGTAATTCTGGATTATTTGACAAAAAAATTCACTTGCTATTTTAAAGAATACAGAGCTGGAAAAAGAAAATCTTACAACTCATGTCTTCTGTTGCTCTTTTAAGTAGTATTGGACCTATGAGGAATATGAGGAAGTGCCAGACCAAGTACTGTTTCATCATCCTTCGCTGTCTGAACAATACAGCAGAGGCAGGCCATAACTTCTTCATTCAATCTCTAGTCGATCAGTTCTGGTGCATTTCACCTGTGCTTTATGTCAGTTCTCAGTCTCCCTCACTTAAGCAGTCAGAGATACATTTATTACACGGTACTCACAGCGAGTCTCAGAATTTCAGGCAGACCTATTAATTCCCCAGGAGTATCCTTTTGGCTCAGTGAAGACTTTTGAGTACCTTAACTTACATTCATTCTGAAGGCAGCCACCATGTTTCCATTTATCCAAGGAGCTATTTGGAGTGGGGCTGTTACCATCTTGAAATTGCAGTTTAAAGGTAACTGGTAACACAAAAGAGTACTTTCTGTATTTCCACTGAAGGAGCTGAGAAAAAAAAAATCTGTAAGAAACCATTGCTGCAATTTTATTTTAACAAAAGGGCAGATTTATTCATGTTTACAAACAAGTTTCAAAAACAAAAAGGAGAACATGTATGCTACCCACTAACAACCTTTCAAAATGCCAACAGCCCTCATGCTGCATGAAGGATTCTATAGATTAGAAAAAAATCACAGTTCCACTCACAGTTCACCAAGACAGCACTAAACTAACATGATTAGACAAAAACAAAGGACTAAGATTCTGATGTATTTTGATTTAATCCATTTTGCCCGAGATAACAGAAATATTTCAAGCAAGTTCCATCACGTATTGATGTCCTGCATTAAACAATCCTACTAAGTTCTGAACAAAAGTTATTCATTAAGTTTCTCAAAATTTTTAAAAATTAAACAGTTGTTTCAAAACCATTAAGTAGTAAATGTATTTAAGAAACTAATTAGGACAGAGGCCATAACTTCATTAGAACACCACTGCTCATGTTTTTACAAAGCATTAGTGTTATCTATTTGGCTATTAGTAGTAGCAATTTATCTACAATATTTAACAAGGTAAATTGCAGGCAAAATTTAGTACAGTTTCAATAGAAACACCCTTTTCCTGAAAATACAGCAGTATTTGAAGGACTAGTTTTTTTGGTTTTTTTGTTTTGTTTTTTGTCTTCTCTGCATCATTTATAAGGAAGCTTCCCATCTATGAACAGGAACAAAAAAGTATCTACAAACCTTGTAAACAGATCTGTATCATTTATAAACATAAATAATCCAAATTATTAACAGCCAACAGCAGAAATTAAAGTATCAATTCAATGATCCAGGGCCTCCTTGCCCTTCCCAGCTTTCCCCTCAGAAAAGGATCATGATAAACTAAAGCTCTGCTAACACACTCTTCAGGACCATTCTTAGTACAACAGATGATCCACAGGTCACTTATGCTGAGTTACTGTTTATCTGTCAGAGTTCATTATTACTCCCACCCCCAGAAAAGCACCCTCCAGTCTGGCAGAAAGCTTTTTTTAAAAAAATAAATCTACATTCGTACAAGTGTTTCTTCTGTTGAAGTCCAAGACAAGAATATCATCTTGTCCATCATAATGTGTGAAGAGACCCAGTTTCAATTTCTTTACAATGCAGCTAGTGTGTTAACATTCAGCTTACAATCAGAGTGATGTTTCCAAACTATGTAGTGGGCTCCCTGGGGATGAAGAGGTAGCAGACTTGTTCTTGTCTGTTGTAAGGTGAATTCCACTGTCAACCGCATTGTTATTTCTATTGGGAGAGGGAGGGGGACTAGAGTTGCGTTTTGTTGGAGCGTCATCTTCAGCATCAGTATCATCAATAAGGGGAATATGAGGCTCGGAGTCTTCTATTCTAAACTCAGGATGCGTCATAAAATTGTGAATTGAACTTCGTGTCTCAGGTTTCTCTAGCCCCTCGTACAAGGAGCTACGAAATGCATTCACCACTCGGATCTGTAAATAAAGAAAAAACGTTGTTAAAATGCTGCAGATTTACTCATCATGGCATGGTTCTTATGAGTTTGAATCCACAAACAGCTAGACATGAGTGAACCAAATTTGTATGATGCAGTGGAACTTGCAATAAACTGTAAAAAATGAAGAGCATTTCAGTAGAGCACTGCCAGTCTACACAGTAGGAATAAAAATTGTGAAAGTACTGCAAAAAGCTGAAGGGCCCTAAAATTCAGCCATGGCACTAAAATTGTTTAATTACTTAACATGGGCTAAGCATTTTTCAGAAGTGAGGCCAACAAATATTTACTTATTCAAAAATTAAATAAATCTCAATGAGTGTTTTATTGAATATTTGTGTGAGATTGGAGGGAGGAAAGGAGGGGAGAGGCTGAAAATAAGTTAGGGGATAAAAGGGTCACTAATTCTCATGCTAGGAATTAGGATGTCAACTGACTATGAAAAAGCCAAGCAAGTGTAAGCCAATGTCACAATGAACGAACATTTACAAAGTCATGCAAAAAAAGGATACCGCTGTAACAGCTGTAAATATTCGAGTATATAGCCATTTACCACGCTAGAGAAAGCTCCTTAGTGAACAGTGCTTTGGAAACTTAAGACCAGAACCAGGAAATTGGATACTGTATTGTACAGTTTAGTAGCCAGGACAGGTTGTAACTTTGAAGAGACTACTTAAGTAGCGCCAAGTATGAGAAAAGCAGGATGATCAGCCTTTGCACGAGTCTTCAATTTACATTGAATTCATGGACACAGTTCCTAGGCTGAGGGCTGTTTCATGTCTTTTTGTTGTCAAATATTTTTTGAATCAGAAAGCCAACAAAATTCATAAATGAACCTTTCATAGTTAAATTAGATACAAAAGAAAGTACAGCTTTGTTTTGCAAATTGCGCGTATCCAGGCTGGCTTGAATTTAAGCTTTCTGAACTAATATTTGAATGATGAAGCCAGCTGCCCACACTCTCCTTCTCCCATGCCCCATGTTTCCCCGATCAACTAGAGAAATTCAGGAGTCATTCTTGAATGGATAAAACGAGTAAGGTGAGGCAGAAGTCATTGAGTCATTCATCCAGCACTTTTCCAGCACTTTTCCTGAGATAGTTTCCCCCTACTGTTGACTCCCTATTCAATTCTCAACATCCCTACCCTGAGCAAGTCTCCAACAAAGCAGTGTGAAATAGTGTTAAATAGTAAGCAGCAGAGCAACTCTGTAGTAAACAAGAACTTGCTGTTACAAACAGCAAGTAAAATTTAAAGCTTTTTTTAGAGCATCCATGATGACTTGTTTCAAGCTGAGAAATACATCATGACTATATTCCAGAGTTCCTCAACAGGAAAAAGTAAAGTGACTTCCAGGTGAAGGAATGAAGCTGGAAGGTCAAGCAGATCAAGAGCAGAGACTTTAAAACAGCTAAGATACACCAGGGAAGTTCACTGTAAACAGACATGGGCTCCCCAAAAGCAATGTGTTAAATCAAACTGGTTAAATAGAACCACTGCACATGATAAAGTCTCATGTCCCAACTGTGTTCTTTGACCTCTAGAAGTGGGGCATCCTCTCCCAAGCTCTGCTCCCTCAGACCACTTGTACAAAGAATTTTACTCCAAAGTGATCATGTCCCCATTTTTATACTACAGGTACATGCTGGGCAACTTAACCATGGAGGCAAGGGAAGAGGGCACAGGGAATAAGGGGGCGTAGGGATGGGGCACACCATCAAGGGGGAAGACATAACTACCAGTAAGGGGAGGACAGAAAAGAGTGTGAATGTGCTGGAGAAAAGATTACAACAGCAGCTAGTACTTGACTGTTCATTGCATGAAAAACTTTGAGCACACTGTCAAGGAGTTGGCGCGTTATGCTAGGTTCAAACAAGTCCAGCCAGCTGCCTAAACTGTCTTGGCACTTACCAAGAAAATAGCAGTGACAATGCCAGACTGAAAGTTTGCAATGACTTTATTTGGCATGTTGCATCCCACTGGGCCATTTATGTGGCAAAATGAAATATGAATGTCTCATGGGACTTTTTTTTCATTGCTTACTGATGAGATTTTAGAACATCAGAAGCAATGAAAAACAATTCTGGCTTAAGAGGAGAGCTGTAATTATCATAGAATATAAAGGCTTGGTTCCCATGCAGAATGCAATACACAAGTGGGCTAGACACTACAGCAAGCCCAGGACTCTCAGAGTCCAGCCACAAAAGCAGAAATCAAAATTTCAGCACTTAAAAAGGGAAAATCTAGTGTTTTGAAGGCTCTATTTTCAACCACTCAAGATAATTAAACTAGAGGGATAACTATAAATAAATCATGGAAGTGAGGTGCAAACAAGACAATTTGTTAAGTGTAATTCATACTGTCATCAGGCCTTCCTCATATTAGTACCAGAATAGCAAGGAATGCAGTTGGCACTCCAAATCCTCCTAACCAGATGGCTGCTTAAGGGTTGCAACCTTACTTCATAGGAACTATGTTCCAACAAACAGCTCCAGATAAGAGACAATAACACATCTGCTTCCCATTAATCTATATTAGTTCTCAAAAGTTGTTCTTCTGGAGAGTGTAGCAGAAGGCTGTAGTAGTGAAGATAAAAAACTAGTTCTCTGCTATGGTAGCTCTGTATCTGGTCATTTGATGCAATGAGATGCTGCAGTGCCCAGTAGATTCTGCTCAAATAGCAGCATGGAATGACATTGCTCTCTAGAGAATTCTGAATGTCTAATTAATGTTCTGGAGTGTAGTTAGGGATACAGGTTACTAATTAGCATTTTAACTAGGAGATGCAATCCTGTGCATCCTTAAGTGTTAAATCTACTTTTCATTTTGTGTTCCTGAGGCATGCAAATTTGAGAGCTGGGCTTCTCAGTACTACTGCAAGGTAGGGAAGTACCTGTCTCACCACTGGAGAACAAATACAGAGGTAAATGCTTGTGCAAGCTCACGTGTGAACTCTGACCAAGCCCAAAAATAAAAAAATAAACCTTAAAAAAAAAAAAAAAATCTGAAGAGACCATTTCACTTAAGACAGCTCCTGAAATTAAGGTCTTCATCCATCTGGTAATCTGAAAGTTTAAGCAGGGAGAGGAAGGGGGAGAAGAAGCCCTCTCAGAGTTATTTTAAAAAAAACATTATTTAACCCATCTCTAAGAAGTTAGAGGAGAAAGTTAAACATGTATTAAGAGGGAAAACTCTGAACAAAGATATTGGCTATTAGTATTCAACTACAACTACTACACATCTTCTGGCTCCCAAGTTTAGGCCTATATCCAAGAGAAAATAAATCTCCAGCCTCTACAGAGAGGAAGGCTGAAACTGAAATGCTACTTAAGAGCACAATATAGAGAGGGTAGAATTGAGGTGAGACAAACTTCGCTTTCACTGATGGTTTATGAACTGCTCCCAGAAGAACCTAGAGAGGAAAAAGAACTCTTCAGATTCGAATGTAAGTTTCACCATTTAATGCTTAAAACTTTTTTCTTTTATATATTAGCTAATTCATATTTCTTCTGACTTGTATGCATTTTAGAAGCCTTGTTTCGCCACCTGAATCCTGATGTTGAAAAAGTTGTTATTCAGTAAGTATGGTCCAATGAAAGCGGAGATTCATAAAGTTCCTTACAGGCTACAAAGAAAATGCATTTAGTGCTCCATGTTCTAACTAAATTCATATCTTCAAGATATCATTTGCTTCCAAATCAGCTTGCTTACTTAAGTATTGTTTGTGCTGCAGTGCAAGAGATGTGTTTTTGTTGACCTGGGTCCATGATTATACAGTTAATTCACTTATTCAATGCAAATCACTCTAAGAGGCATATACTCGAAAATTTACAACAGTTTTCCCTTTTTATCTTAAAAATCCCTCTGTACACGAATGGATGAAGGCACAGGATATGCAGGCTCACAGCTTTCGCATTAAAGTCTTTTGTTGAAACTGTTCCACCTGTTCTCAGCCCTCTAAGAAAAAAAAGTCTTGAGGACTCCACTTTGTGGAAGAGCTCTATAAAAGCCTGAACGATGATTTTAAGTACTAAGGAGAAAATGAGAAACGTTAGGTACGTGAATTAGGAAATGTTAATTTCATGCACTTTAGGAACACACACTCACACCCCACAGTAGTAGAAGCAGTAGTAGAGGAAAACACTACATGTGTAGGGGTAGAAATATTTGTTACATCATGGTGCTGGCTGGCGATGGAGGGTTGCCGCCTTAGAGCCCCCTGAATGGTACTTCCACTCTGGAAAGCATTCACTACATCCATCTGCAAGGAATCAGAGATTGTGACAGCTTGCTCAGCAAGAGAGAGAGAGAACAAGAGAAAGGACCATCCCATCTATAACACACAAAAAAGTAAAGAAAAAAAGGCACTTTTTAAAAACAGAGCAGATATACAGGCAAGAGTTGCATTTAAAGCTGAAGAAAACAGAGGACCCTGAGGGATTACACATCCATCCATACCCCCTTTTGGCACTCTCAGTCACACCAGTTAGAACAGCCACCTTAGTCAAAAATGGAGAGATTTCCCTCTACACCCACTGCATCCTACCTTTTTCAAGACCATACCTGAGTTTGTATCCTGTTTAGGCCCCTAAACCACAAGATCTGACCACGACGCAGTTCTCTCTCAGCATGATCAATCTCCTCTACATCTTCTGCTAGTTCTTCTTCAGGAATCTCTTCCTTTTGTGTTCCATGACCGGCTTCTTTAAGGAATTTCAGTCGGCTGGTTGGAATTGTTGAAATCAACTAACAGTGGATAAAATATATAAATCAGGATTATTCTTTTTTTAACAACAAAGAAGGAGTAGTACCAGTCTTAAGGCTTAACAAATATCCTGCACACAATTAGTGAAGTTGAAAAAACTAAATTATATAGACAGGATGAGTGCATCAACATAAAACAATCACTCCAGGTGAATAGCTGCAAAGCTGTAAATATACTTACTACCTCAACCAAGATGAGAAATTAAACTTGGACTACAAACCAGCCTTGCCAGGGATAAAGAATTCCACATTAACATTACTTGACAATGCCAGGAAGGAGCAGTACTGAAGCTACAAAAGCCATTAATCCTGTAGATTGTACTTGTATCTAGAGCTTTTAGAGTTTCATCAATTTGATGAGCGTGATGTATCACCTCAAGTGAGACCTCCATCACCTAAAGTAACCACAATTAATTCAGAAATACAGAAGAGACATTCATTCATTCATTTGTGACCTGAGAGATATCTATCCTTTTGCAAGGTGAGTGATGTTTCTGAAATGGTATGTAGCTCAAACTGTTACTTTGCTACTCCATGTAGACCAGTTAATATACCTTAAATTAATCAAAAGCTACATGTGGTTAAGGGGAGTAATATTTTGATACATTGTATCTAGCAGATCCAGATCAATTCCAAGACTCTTTTCCTTGATCGTCACAAACCTAGAAGACAATTTCTGCAGCTGCAGAAGAAAAAAGTCTGTTCCATAAGCAAGATAAACAGCCCTTTATGCTGAAACTGCTACTATGAATGCTCCCAGCTCACACTTCAGCTCCTATTATTCTCAGAAAATTAAAGCTCTTTGACTTTAATGAGATGCTAGGACAGCATGAACTGCAGCAGTGAAGCTTTGCCCTTGCAAGCCACATTGGGTCAAAGGTATTTCAAGCCATCTCAATTCTCTTCTAGGACGCTTTTAAACCTCAGAGTGACTCTATTTGATTTTTTTAAATAATTAATTTTCCAGAGAACCTTGTTAAAAAGCTTAGTCACTTTTAGAATATATATCTATGTATATGTATTTACAACGAAAATTCATTCTACCAATTTTATGGTGAAACATGAAGTGTCTTTTACTTAGTGGAAGGAAAGGAACTGTAATGGAAAACTCTTCATGTGGTATGAAAAGTTTAGACAACTATGTCATTAAATAATAGAAAACTCTGTAGCTCTAAAGTTTCACGTAAATAAGCTTGCTGTTTACAAGCACTGTTGTGCATGCAATAGTAATGACTCTGGGGGGAGGGGAAAGGAAATAAAAGTCCAAATGTAATATGGCTTAATAGGTGGGAAGACTTTTCAATTATGTCACAATTATGCAAATGTAGATTAAAGAGAAAGTTGGTTTGAGTTTTACTGCATTTCTTGCTGCTCTTGGAGGTTTTTAAATCAAGAAAATACTGTCAAGTTTAGCAATTCTTGATTTTTCAAGAAAACCATAAAGCACCAAGTTAAAATATATTTAACATTAGCCTGTTCATTGCATCTTGTATTCTTACCACATTTTCTGGTACTCCTATCTGGCTGAAGATATAATTTCATATCTAAAAGGTAACTACAGCTTCTGCTAGTTAAAAATTGCTAAACAAACCAGCCACGGCATCTAGTTATGAAATGTAAATAATTGACCCACTCTGAGGAAGGAGTATTCAACTAAGAACTAACTTTCTAGCTATTGAACAAGTCAATTTTAATTAATATTTACTGTCAGTCTTCATATATTCATACAGTCCACTTGAAAGATCTGAATGCTAAAGACAGTGTGTTTGGGTTTTTTTCCCATTTAAAGTATACTGTTGCAAGTAGATATTTGGCATTTTTAAAAATCCTAGTTTACCTGGCCCCAAAGTAATGTGCCCATGCCCAGGAAAATGGACCACAGCCACTGTTCAACTGAGAGCTCTGAGCAACTGAAAGGCTTTCCACCAAACTGCACAATAATTATCTGTGAAGAAAAACATAATTAAACATGTATCAGTGACCTGTTACTAGAAAATTCCCTAATGCTTTGAGATCACAACAGACAGCTCTGCAAGAGAACATGGGATTTCCCATCTTATTAAGCATATTCTTTCACTGACTCAGCAGTTTGAGCAAGCTTCCAAACATAAGCCATATTCTTCCTCTTTTCAGTACTTCAAGAACTACCCATTTATTCTTCAAATGTCACACTCATGAAGCCTTGTTGAGTCCTCAATTTTGCTTGTAGTTTTTTCCCTTCATTTCACGATTAGAGCAAGTATTTGATGCTACAAATGTACAGTGGTTACTTTTGCTATGAACATCCATCTTGGAACTAAGTCCAAGGTTCATAAACTTGTATTAATAGAATTCATAAATCCACAAGACATGAAATATCTCAGAAGTAATCCTAGAGTATATTACTGTGTATCACATCAGTGTTAAATATCAGACTTTAAATCACACATGTGACTTTAAATCTTGGGGGAAATGGGGCAGAGATCTTAAAAGCTAAAGTAAGTGAGCTCTTACTGTCTTAGCTATTACAACAAGCTGTAGGGCCCCAATGAGCAAGGTATCTCTGCATAGGAATTATATGCATGAAAGTCTGCCCTGGAGAATCAACAATTCAAAGTAGCAGGGCAGGCACGAAAAGGAGACAGTATTGACCATTAAGTAGGGCACCTGACAGCTGAAAAAGCAAAGAGTATCTTCTGTTATTAGCTCAGAATAAAACACTGAGATGGCAAATCAGGAGTTGGGAAGTGATTGGGACTGTCAAATTTATAAAGGGAACATAGCGGCAGTCAGGAGTAATTTCTAAATAACAAGATTTTCTAAATCTAATTTGTAAATATTTGGCTTTGTTGCACAACGACAGTCAATCTGCTGCATACATAACCCCAAAAATAAGAGCAGCTTTCTGAAGTGGTGTCATCTATAAAAATCTAAACGTGAGAGAGTAAGATCCCTGACTTAATGTGAAGCAGTGGAGTATAAGTTTCCAGTGCTTGAACTGATATGACTTCCATCAACTTCATGAATTATCAAGTCTAAGGAGAAGCTTAATATGTAGGTTATATGTCCCAAATAGCTTAATCCATAATGAAAATGGGTTCTGAAATTAAGCAGTATACTGATTTGTTTGTTATTTCTTCTGACTAAATAAAGTGAAGGCAATTTAGAGGGTGAAAATATTTCTTGTAAACTATTTTCTGCAGATTCAGTTTTAAATTGGTGTTTCTCAACACCAGCATGTGAACCCAATCAACTGCAGCATTTCATTTCCTTTTTTAGCATGTACTGATTTAACTAACTAGCTTTTATGAATTCCCCTGTGTACCCCAACAGAAGGTCCCTAGACATCAGGGTTTTTTCACTTAAAACAGCACCTTTACAATATATACCAGTAGGTATTACTGATTCCTGTGTCAATAAGGTAAAAACTGACACTTAAATTTCTAATGCTTATTCATATCCTAATCTCATGAAGAAAATAAGAGAGTTGTACCTTTTCTACAATTGCTTAAATGGACTCTCATTCAGAAACACAGGTAGATATTATAAGAAAGATTTAGGGGCAAGGGGTCAATGAACAGATGACAAAAATAATTCCTTTATATTTTTCTAAGAGACTAGAACACCAAGATAAAGTTGGAGAACTAGAAAATGCAAAAGGTAGCTACAAATACAATATTCCAGCATTACCAATTACAAAGAGGTCTTACCTGGAAACTCCATCAAGCTGCACTTACAACTTACTTATTATGTGCTTGACCCTGCAGGTTTTCCACATTGCAGAAATTAGATCTCTGGCACTAGTTGATTGGCATTTCCAAGGTAAGCAAGTACATCAGCGCACTAAATTTTCCCCCCACCTTCCAAGAACCTGCTTACCTGCACAACAAACGTCCCCAGCACAATAGAACAGAAGATAGCGTTGTTAAAGATTCCTTCAAAAACATTTCTTTCACCATGAATCTTTCGGGCATTAATTTCATTAAAAAGCTGCATCATCACAAACGTATTAAATACTATAGTATAATGCTCTGAAGGAGGAGCATGCAGAGGTGCATTTCTTCCACTATCGATATCAAAAATTTTCTCACCTGTATATAAAAGGCATTTATGAACAGCTTAATTAGTGTCTTTACACATGCACTACAAAAAAATAAAAAAATAAGCAAAAAAATAGTTTTAAAAACACACCTCTCTACAACATTCAGAATAAGTTTGTAAAGCCTTAGTGTCCTTACCAGCAAACAGGAGCGTGAAGACCACTACAAGCTGGTAGAATGCATGACCCAAAATGTTCTTCATCATTGTACGAGAAATCAAAGGTTTGTTTCTACCATAAGGCTTCCGCAACAGAAGAGCTTCAGTGGGTGGTTCTGTTGCCAGGGCAAGAGAAGCTAATGTGTCCATTATGAGATTTACCCACAGCATCTGCACGGCTTTAAGTGGAGAATCCTATAAAGATAGATACATAAACCCTCCAATAGAAGTGCAGAAATTACAGCTAATATTGGCATTTATCATACAATATTGGCAGGTTCTGAGGAGCATTATGTTCTTTGGACTACTGTTTAAGTGAAAGTTTGAACTTAAGAATTAATCAATCATGACTTTTTCAACCTTTATTAGCTGAAACAATCCCCCACTGGTACGTACTTGTGTTATGCATGCTCCTGTAAAAGCAACAATTACTGCTACTACATTGACAGTAAGTTGGAACTGAAGAAATTTGGAGATGCTGTCATAGACATTTCGTCCCCACATAACTGCTTTAACAATACTGGTGAAGTTGTCGTCTGTAAGGATAATATCAGAAGCTTCTTTAGCTACGTCTGTTCCAGCAATACCCTGATAGAAAAAGAAAAACATTATGAAATATTACAGGATGCACTGACTTTTTATGACAAAAGATATTATGTCCTTGGTCAGCATCCACTTGGATGGACCATGTCTGAAGGACTCCTTTAATGCAAGCACCTAAAGACTTATTGAAACAAGTTCTGCTCAAATTTGGGGAAATGGAAACAAAGTAATGCTCTCTTTAAACTAAAGGCCTTGATATAAATTTGAGAGTTGACAGTAAAGACACGCTAAGTTCTCCCAAAGAAATGTCTCCCAAAGAAATGTTACCAAACCCTGTTCAAGCTGAAGGCCACCAGATGGTGCAGTGCTACAGTTCAAGCTCTGTCCTAATTACTTTGTTGTATGGATTCCAGCAGCAGGCAACACATGTGCTTGCAACACAGTGGGATGATAAACATTGCCAAAAAACCTCCTGCAGAAAGGCATTAGCATTGAACAGTAAAATATGCAATGTCATCCATATGCATTGCAAAGCAACATGTCATTCTCAAATTTTAAGCACCTCTAGTCTCCTATAGTACCCCAACAGCTTATTCTGTAATGATGCCTGAAGACAACTATTTCAAAAATCTTTTTCTTTTGCCATTCAAAACCCATCAACTCAATAGCAAATTTAATGATCCTTATTCTTGATATATTATTTTGTCAAGGAAGTGAGTCACCTGCACAACTATGTGTATGCCTTAAAAGGCACCTTTAGGTTTCATATGGTATATTTTAGATGCTATTAAGGTAAGAAATTGGAGAAGATATCTCCTTACACAGGTGAACACAGACAGCAACTGCAACAGGAAACAATCAAAAACAGATACACAAATCTGCCCCTGACAGCAGGCAGCTACAGCAGCTATACCATACCAGAACAGAGATACTTGTTACAAGACTCTTACAGTCTAGACAACATTTCAGGAGCTGTCTAATTTTAAAGTTACATTTTTGAAAAACGCTCCTTGAGAATGATGTGAAATCTCTTTCCCATTTTTTTCTCCCAGGAGTAGAATCTGAATCTGTTTCTTTTTCTGCATGGGGTATAGGAAGAGTGTGGTCTTTATTTTTTCTTTCCTTTCAAATACTTTAAGACTACAGTGACCTGCCATGACCAAAGTTACATTTAAGGCTGAGGAGGAGGAATCCTGTGGCAAAGGGAACCTCCAGGAATCTGTCTTACTCTGTGTCTTGAAAGAAAGCTGAAACCCACATACTTGAGGCATGAGTCTATGCAGCATAAGCAGTTAAAAGAAGGGATATTGTTTGGCAGCCACATGAAAGGGTAGCTGAGAAAGCCATGTAATCTAACGAATCATCCAGACAAGTGCTGATCCTACACTATCATAAAATGCTGTTGCTTCAGTTGTACTTCAGATATACAAGATATATTCTTCAAAGCCGTTTTGAGCATCAACTGGCAGTCTCTTATATTATGGTCTCCCTGTTCCTACGTATCCTTGAATGGGAAACATGATTAAGCTCATTCAATACTGCATATAAGTTTTACTCAAAATCAACAAATATTATGCTATCTACAGCCTAAAGTCATTGTTTTATGGTGAAAACATTTCAGAAATCTTCAGTATTCTGTTCCAGTACTTTGCAACAAGTTTTTGTGTAAACCATTTTCAATTTGCAAGTAATTGGCAATCTTCATTTTTAAAGTTTTATTTCATGGTGAATGGCACGAGAATTTTTTCCAAATAAAAACACAGTTAAGTTGGAATGTTGACTTCATTAACATAGTTGTATACTAGGCCCATGAAACAAGGGTCTTCAATCTTAAGTGATTTGAGAAGTTATTGATAAAATACTGGGGATTTAAAAACACTGGGGATTTAAAAATATCCTACCATAGCAAATCCAACATCTGCCTTCTTCAAAGCTGGACCGTCATTGGTACCATCACCAGTTACTGCTACAACTTGCCTCTGGTCAAAGACAGTGCTGTCAATTATACCTAAAATAAAATGGCATACAAGTGTGACATTCTAAAAGTACTAAATAAACAACACAGCTGAGATTCAACCTGAAAGAGAAACACAGTTTTTGTCTTTATCAGTCATAAAACAAAAAAACAAACAAAAAGAGTCACCAAAAAAAGTTCTCATTGGCTCCATTTCTCAAGCAGAAAGAAAAAAAATCAGTTGGAAGCAACTTCACAGACATTTCCCATTCTTCAGTCCTATTTTTTTTTTTTCCTAGAAGCACAGGAAAAGAAATCTAGCTTTACTTACAAGCTCAGAGAATTTTTGCCTACCTTTTACTAGAGTGTGTTTGTCAGTGGGTGAAGATCTTGCAAGAACACGAAGCTTTGGCCAAATTTTATCTATTCGCTCTTGCTCAATCTGCAGAAAGAGCATTGGTTATATTTTACACACGTAGGAGGCTTAGAATATCTGTTGATCTACTTGATTAGAGAGTCAATGTGCTTACCTCTCCTTTTTCATTGCGTATTCTCCTGTTAAAGTCTTTGCCCTCCAAACACAGGAAGTCTTCACCAGGATTCAGAATACCACATTTCAATGCAATAGCACGAGCAGTGTTAATGTTATCACCAGTGACCATGCGTACAGTTATGCCTGCACGTTGACACTTTTTTATTGCATCAGGTACCTGTAAGCAACAAAAAACCACACAGGCTCAGAGACTGTAGATTAGTTAAATAAATCTAGACATGTGAGTAAAAGGTACAGGATAAATGTTATTTTAAAATTAAGACTGTATTTATGGAACATTAAAAAAAAAGATTAAGTAGCATACCACAACTCTCTTCCTAAAAACCACACAAATTGTAATTCTGGCAAGAGGCTTTGTGCCACTGCTATGTCTGTTCCCCACCCTCCTGCAATTTTTCAAATACTGCAGTATTCAAAAATACCACAAAAATCTTCATGACATATAAGGCTATACTGAGTACTGGCATTTTATTTATGATTATGTGAAATAAACTACAGCTGATACTCCACTACTTCACCCATAACTTTTACTGTAAAGTGACAATGGTGCAGATCAGCTCCAATTTCCACGTGCATGTGGCATAAAAGCTTTCACTGTTGAAAAACCTTACACCTCAACCACAAGCCAAACTCCTTGCCCACAGATCTCAGCAATCTCACCTCTCCCTCATTCCCCATGAGAAGCTGGTAACAAGTACAATGGCTAATCTTATCCAAACCAAAAGTCCTACTGTTCCAAGTGGTAAAAAAATAACAAGTTGTTTCATTTGCTGAGATCCTGCACAATAAGTACCTTAAGTTATTAGTTTGAACAGAGCTTCAGTAACACAGTGTAAGTGACATTAAGTAGTTTTAATCTGCTTTTATAGCTCCATTAACTTTCCCTGCAAGAAATTAGATTTTCATTTATTAACTATGCTTAAGGCATACAATAGCAATTCAGTTTCTGAATCATACTCTGCATGATGAAAAACATGAAACCCGTGTATTTGAACCACGGCAGCTTAGCTGGTGACCCTACCTCAGGTCTCACAGGATCTTCAATCCCAACAACAGCAATGCATGTCAGACCAGTAACAATATCATTTTCATTGTCCCACTCTGGCTCAGGCTCTCCTGCTGGGAAGTCTCTGAATGCCAGGCAGATGGTTCTGAGACCTTCAGAAGCCATTGGCTCAATTACAGTTTTCACAATATCATCGCGGTCCCTAGGTCTAAATACCTTTGGTTCACCATTAGCACTCAGTATTTTGAAGCACCTGGAAAGAAAGGTTTAAAGAGTTATCACATTTTAAATAGAAGTTCAACCCACTCTTTGACTTATTAGTCAGCTCTAATAAGGTTTTTTTTTAAGCTATGTTTTGCTAGACTCACACACAGGCACAAAAAGCCAGTAGCGATATCTCTAAGTTAATCTCCAAATGCACTTTATCTCTTCAGTTGCAAAACACTTTCTGTAGAAAGTTAACTGAGCCACTCATCCCAGGATGAAAGTAATGCCCAATGAATTTCACATACAAACATCAGTTACCTCCCAGAAGTATCCATTTCTCCATTGTATGTAAACAGACTGGTGTCTGCACTGGTTAAGTGGGGAAACCCAGTTCCAAACTCAACAAAATAATCCCACTTTGTACTCAGGTACTGGTACCCTGAGTACAAAAATCTTTGCAGCCCTTCCCCCCCAGTCAAAGTGCAGAGAATTCAGAGAGCATCTGGTATGCGAAGCAATGCGAAAAATTAAAAACAAATATTGAAACTGATTAAAATGTTTGTATAGGAGACTAGATTCACTACTATGCACTCCAGCATTTCAATACATGCTCTCTTCATTGTTTCTTCATGCCAAAGATGCCACTGCTTTCACAGAAACCATATATATTTTATATACTAATATTGATGCCAGGAATATAACACTACCAACGATTTTGAACAAGAAATTTAATCTTGCTCATGTGTTCTTCACAAGGTTTTGCCATAAAGTAACACCATTATGCATTAGTTTTACAAATTAGTACTAATACAGCACCAGGGGAAAATTAAATAAATATGGAATTCATTACTTTCATTTAATTAAGTTCAGACCTTGCAGAACTGCAAATATGACAAGTGTTACAGTTAAGTGTATAGTCCAAAGATTTAGGAAATTCCCTAACATTTCCACATCATACAGAAAATTAAAATGAAGCTCCCTTAGAGCTTCAAAATTCATGGCATAATTGAAATTTGAAGTCTATGTGAATTTTCTGATTTTACTTGTCTGTTCAAATGTCAGCAATCATTGAGGATATCTAGTGTTAGCTGCAATCATAAGGCTGGTGACAAATTAAAACATTCCAAAATGACTTAATACACATAAATAAGTTCTATGCAAAGACCACACTGAAACTCACTTCAAACACTTGACTTAGTGATAAGAAAAAAGAAAGTGCTCTACTTGAAAAAGTTTCTGCATTTCTTCTACACCTACTAGTGACCCATTAGTGTCTTAGAAATGTTCATGTTTAAGTTTTCAGTGTTCAAGGGTAGTTACATACGTTACAATAGAGAAGGAGCAGCACAACTGGCAAACCAGATTACAAGTACTGCATAGGAAGCAGTTTATGATGGCTAAATCTTTGTCTTATTCAGAGCATACTCTGAAATAGTTTCCTATTTGGACACTATTCCCATAGCATCCAAATGAGTCTAGGTTTTCTTACTCTTTTCCAAATGCCCTTCTTATTTATTTTCTCATTTCAGTTATTAAGTCAAGTGGACCACATGAGTCAGGGATGACTGAGTTCTAGCAACTTCTACAGTTTAGTTGTCCAATACTGGAAGTTACAAAATACTTCAGAAGGTGGAAGTGATGTAAATATAGGCATACCTATTCATTGATAAGGTTTGGCTTAAAATCTAGCTATGCAAAAAAAGTATAGATTTTAAGTTCCATATCAAGAGGAACAAGAGTCCTTTAGAGATTGACACTTTGTATTTAGCACAAAAGTTGAGGAGAAGGAAGAGTTCATATTTTTTCTTTAGTACATTAGTACTTTCCTAAATAATGATTTGAGGAGCTATTAACAAGCAAAAAAAATATAAATTTAACTGATTAATATATCACCTATGTGCTACTCAGACTAGAAACAGTTTGACATTAGAACCAAAACTAATAGCCTGGCTACCAACTGCTGTTCCTGGAGAACTTGATGCATTCATGTTTGACGTCTCTCCTCACCTAGTTAGGAGTTACCACAGCTGACTTACCACCTATAAAGGTTTGTCCCAGTGGTGCCTAATAGCCCACTAAGTCTAATCTCATTCTAATAAATCCTTTATAGGTGGGCAGATGGATAAGGAAGCAATTGCTTTGTCACATTAAAACCCCTCAAGTTGCTTGAACATTTAAGTTCAGCCTCCTGTTAAAATGATCATCTTGCACAGTCTAAGCAGTAATATTCTAAAAGTAATCATTTTTCAAAGGTACAAGCCCTTCCTGAATTTAGGTAAATCAACTAATGGGATGTTACTGGAAGGCATTTTGATCAACCACACCTAAAAGTAAAATAGTTTAACTAAAGCATGACCATGTCTTTATTTTTTGGTGGGTTTTTTTTGTTTGTTTGTTTGGGTTTTTTGTTTTGTTTTTTGTTTTGTTTTGGGGTTTTTTGTTACTTTGAGGGTTAGGGCTAAGGTGATTGAAGTAAAGTAACTGAAGTTCTAATGGCCCATCTTACTGTATAAATTCAAACAACTGAAGGAGACAAGCTGTGAAACTGCAGTCACAAGAGTATAGGACTGTTGCTCTTATCTGTGATTAGAGAGACAAGTATTTCACAGACTATGTCACAATGTCATTTAGCATGTCAGTCTCCCCACCTATCACAACATTTAGCCAAACTTAAGTGCTGAATCACAACAGTAGTTGTTCTTACTTTTTAAGAACTATCTCAGAGGCACCTTTACTGAATATCCGGAAACTGCCATCAGAGTTTTTTAACACAGTACTCATCGATTTTCTAACAGAGTTGAAGGTGTACACTTTGTACAAATCCTCTTCTGGTATCTCATTTCTTACATCCTGATAATCACGTTTTAAATCCAAGAGCAATCCCAGCAAGGCACATTCAGTTTTATTTCCAACATGGCGTGGTAGGCCACCTTCTTTTTCAGGAGGCTGCAAGAACAAGAACCATCAAGGATTAGGTTAACTTATAAACCACTGAAGCACAGCACATAGAAAACAAGGAAGGACAAACTTAGTTCTGGGATGGGGAGGTTTCCTTTTTTTCAGTAATTACTTTATAAATTCCTATGAGTCATGATCTGGTGTCATACTGCTGCTTTTTAAAAGTAAGTTCTGTACCTATTTAGGAGCTTTCAGTCCTTCAGAAAACACCCATTAAGTTTGTATCAATCCCAACATGACCTTTCTAAAAGACATTTTCCATTTCTTTAAATATTTATCTGCTCAATCGAATGTAGACCCTGAACAATTATTTTGGACTTTAAAAGTACAGAAGAGTTCACATAGACTGACTTTAGCAAGCTAAATGGCATTATTTCTGCTAAATTCAAGTATCCTCTACTGTAATAATTCTTCAATGACTTAGACTATGACCACATCACCTGTTAGCTTTCTTCTGAACAAACTAAGTCTTTAAGCCTCTTAAGTCTCACTACAAGTTCTGTTTTCCAGACCATGGCCTATTTAACTGGAGAGAGTTCAGAAACAAGATTCCAATCCTTTAATACCAGAAAAAGTTTCTTATTCCAGCAGTGTGGGATATGCACATACTAGTTCTATACGTAAACAATTATTTCTCTCAAAATATTTGAGCTCATATACCTATAACACTGTGGTGTTTTTTGCAGCAAATAGGGAGAAGCACTTACTCAATTTGACATATTTCAGGTGGCTAGAGCTGAACTATATTAATCATATGTCAGTGGTCCATTTTCACTGTTCAGAGCCACAAGATTTTGGTTTTGGCCATAGCTGCACTTTCAATACGTTCACTTTAATGTTTGGTTTAAGACATCTGGTTCTGGGTGCCCCACTATGTGAGATATCAACATCCAGGAGTAAGTGCATCCATGGCATACAAAGATAATACAGAGACTCAAGCACCTGACGTATGAGGATGAGCTGAAAGGGCTGGGACTGCTCAGTCAGGAGAAGACAACGCTCTGGGGGAGACACTTTGTGGTGTGCATTAAATGCCTGAATGGTAAGGACAGTCTAGCCAGACTTCCTAGTGGTGCCCAGTGAGAGGACAACAGGCAATACATAATAGTAACTGAAGCTTTTGAAACTCCATTTTAAGATAAGGAAACACCTTTTTCTCTAAGGGTAATCAAATACTTGACCAGGCTGCCCAAAGGTTGCAAATGCTCCATCCTTTGAAATTCTCAAATCCTGAGTGGGTGCCCTGAGCAGTGTGCTCTGGCTGACTCTGCTTAGATCAGGAGGAGTGGACCAGAGGCTCTCAAGAGTTCCCTTTCAGCCCTTTCTGGTTCTGTAAAGCAGACTAATTCTACTGCAGTGGACGTAATTCACTTAAAATTGTAGTAATAAGGGACTCATTTGGTCCCTTACAGTTTACATACAGGTACCTTTTTCTTGATATAGAAAGAGCTTTAGAAAACAGATTGTGAAACTCCTCACGTGCTGTAACTCATAGTATTTTCATCTTGTTTCAGATAAATCAGTGCTGTCAAACTTTATGTGCTGCCTCAAGTACTGCTATTGTGGAAATTCTTGCAGGCGTACCATTTTTATTAGCCAATAAGTAGCTTTTGAATTGAGTTTTCACCGCCATTTGTGTACAAAGCATCCATAGCAGAGGCTTCTAAAGAATCTTTAAATGCTAATTCATTTACTAAATCCTACTTATCATTTTTACTGCCTAAGCAATGTAAGTTATACAAAGTGTTGGAATTACTACAGCAAGGAAGCTCTGTTTAGAGTTTTAGAAAATAATGCACACAAAATGTTAAAAAATCCACTATTTAAAATGTGTAGCAGTCCATTAGTCTTTCTTTTCAAAACATTTTGCCTTTTTCATTTCAAAACACTTCAAACAAGATTTTGGCAAATACATTACAATTCTAAAGCTTGCAAACTTATACAGAAGTATCTGTAATAAAAATCCATTAAAATCCTTACCTGTAGCTACATTTTCTCATTATATTTTATTTAATGTACTACTCTTAAATATTAATTGGTTTAATATTTATTTTTTAGTTGCACTCAAATCCATCCAAGAAAAGTGGGGTAAACAGCCCCACTTATAGAAGCAGACAACTCTGAACTTGAAATTATCTTGAGATTTTATCTTTCAATTATCAGTTCTAACTGAAATAAGCTATTTTTTTCCCATTGACTTTCAAATGAACAGTTGAGCAATTTACAACAGGTGCAAAATGTACCTTACCCTGCACTGTGACACACATTTACACTGAAACTGCCTGTGGCCATCAGATAATTTGCATCTTTTGAGGAAGCTACTCAGTTATCTTGATTGGAAAGAAGAAATCCACTTACCAGTATTTTGGAAGTATAAGCACAATTAACAGAAATTCCTGTCACAAGATAAGCCATAGTTTTCTCTGGAATAGCTTCTGGTTCTGGAATTTTTTTATAATGTTTTTCATTGATGTAGGCTTGGACCACTGTCATTCTGTTCATAGTCAATGTTCCTGTTTTATCTGAGCAAATAGCTGTTGCATTGCCCATAGTTTCACATGCATCCAGATGTCTCACCAAGTTATTATCTTTCATCATTTTCTAAGGAAATAAAAGCAGTTAACAGCAATCCATGACCATTCTTCACTTCAGAAATTCTCATTTATGGGGTCCAGTCTTACACAGCACTTTCAGAAGACACTCAGTCATTAAGTCATCTGGCATATTTCAGAGGAAGAACTTGCAGCTGCCACTTTCTGTAGATTCCCCTAAGCCTATTATGTCACAGTAAACTTCATTTTGAACAAGGTACATAATAAAAACAGTCTTAATCTCCTGCACCTGCAGGTCACACTGACTATAGATACTATTCAGACTTTTTAGGAGCAGAGTTTATGATGATATTTAAAAATGGAGAAGAGGTAAGGTTTGAGCTTTACCAGATACAATGTTTAAAAAGTGTTTCTGCTTACAAACCAAAGTCTAATACAGCTTATTTTACCTGTCTGAAGATCAGATAATACAGATTTCAAAGGTCCTAGATTCAGATATAACCACATACTAAGTAGGAACCTAATGTTTCAACTAAAACACTGAGGATTACTTGAGTTTCATAAATTAAATATCACTTTAAATTCTTTCATTAACAGGCTTGTATAGTATTTTCAGCTCTAAGAGGAGGATGAATTTCAAGTGCTAAAATAAGGCCACTATTAGTAAGTGCTTAAGTTATGAATTTAAAACACATCCTAAGCACCCATCTTCTTTACAATTAGATTTTAGATAACTAATCAGTCTCAACATACTGATGCAGTAAGAGAATTAAGAACACAAAGAGCTTAAGTTAAAAAACATGCTGAAAAATAAGCAGAAAAAATGCTTTACGCTATTCAGTCTTAAAAAAAAATCAATCTGGAAGCTTTCATAGCAATTGTTTAACATATCAGCTAGGTAGAAGTTCAGATTTTCAGAAAAGTTTGTTATTTACAACCTCTAAGACGTCTGTTTATTGTAAGCAAATGCTACAATGCTACATTCTGAACCCATTCATCTTTAGCTGCTGACAAAAGGCTGGCAGTGCTCACTGTTCTTACGAGCAGGTATTCACTCAAAGATGAAGAAAATGTTCACTTGAAAGAAGAAAAAGTACTGCAGGAGAATTCATATGCAGTTCAAAAAACAAGAAAAGTTCCTTCCCAGTCTGATATATACGTATGTGTGTGTGTGATGCAGCATAACTCAGTTTGCATTTAACAGCTGATGAATATATCCACCTACCTTAAAAAAAAATCTATTTGTCCTCTACCCACTTACCTTAACAGAGTAAGCCAGAGATATAGTGACTGCAAGTGGAAGACCTTCTGGTACTGCCACCACCAAGACTGTAACTCCAATAATGAAGAACTTCACAAAATACTGAATATAAATTGGGGTACATTCAGCAAGCCAAGGTCTCTTCTGAACCCAGAAGGTATCAATTACAAAATATAACACAAGGATAATGACTGTGATTGCAGACATCAACAAACCTTGTTAAAAAGAGAATAAACAGTTTTAAGAAATTATCTCAACTATATAGCAATACAGACTATGGATACATGCAAATACCTCTGCCTTTATATAAGCTACTTTAGAACTAAGGTTTCAAACAGGCAAGTCAAAACATTGAGGTAGTTCTCAGAGGTGTTCCAGCTTCCATTGCTAGTACTTCCTCATGCATTTCACCTAGAAATTCCCTTTTTTCCTCCAATTTAATTGGAAAGGATGGGGCTAATTAGTAACAGGACAGACCAATATGTAAAGTCAATTGACTAAGCAGAACAAGAAGTGAAAAAATTCAGGAGGCCTTCACCAATTTTATGCTGACTGATTCAGTAGAGTGCTTCAGTGCAGTCTCAAAGCAGGAGGACAGGAAAATCCATACATGAAGTAGATGAGTATTAAGGCTGTGTGGGGAACTACAATGGGTCAAAAGGTACATAAAGGAAAACACAAGACCTCTTGGCAGATATGGAAAAATTCTTTGACAAGGACAGTACTTTACAGTAAACATATAATGGAATTGGTTAAACTCACTGAAAAATTAATATCACCATAAAGAACTGCAGTGTTACACCTGAAAGCTCATTGCTCAGTTTCAGGCTGTAACTCTCTAATGATACAAACGCTAAAGTCAGCCCTTCTTGAGCTGTGGGCTGGACTACAAGTCTTTTTGAAATTCTTTACAGCCTGAACCTTTCAACTATTCTATTTGAACCAAAATAAATCCTGAAATATTTGAATTAAACCACTACACACTAGATATTGTAGCCTAAATTTCATACTGAACTTCACTGTTGTTTCAGCCTACTTTCAACAGCAACAATCTGCCAAATATTTTGACAAGGCAGCTGAATATTAGCTGATAGAAAAGTAGGAAGTCAATAAAAATGTTATGTATCAGCAAGGCATGTGTGTTAAGTAGAAAATTCTAAGCCTCTGAAAGTACTAGAGATAGTACCATATTTTCCAGACTTCACTCAACTCACAGTTCTCTCGATATATTGCTAAATGCTGTATCTAGCCTAGAAAGATCTTTTGTAACAGCTGTCCAATATTATGAAGCTGGAATTTTCCCTCCTATAAGCTGGTACTTGAAAGCCTGAATTTATTTAAATTAAGGAAAAATAAAAGCCATCCACATGACATAGCCTGAGAGGCCGCCAGCATACTCAGGCACAACAGCATACTTACATGCATTAGAATTTTGCACTTAAGTAGCCAGCTTTGAGTGGTTCAATTATTTTATCTACTCGCAAACTATGCATGTTCCAACTTTTTCTAACATGATAACAACGTAAGGAGAGTACTGAGACATTGTACCTGCTTTGCCAATCTGAACTGCAAGCTTTGTGAGCTTGCCTTGGAGAACTGACTTTTCCTTCTTTGGCAAGTTTGCTTTCTTCTTGTCTTTTTCGTCTCCATCTCCACCATCCTCACTTTTCAGTGGTTGCATTTCCATGGCTGCACCATCCTGAGCTTTAGCTAGAAGATAAAAAAAAAAAGTTTAGTCATTGGTGAGTCTCTCAAATCAAGGATACCTAAAAAGCTTAATACCCAGTTCCACTAAATATAATAGCACTGAGCATTATCTTGTATCCAGAGAGACCATACTACACATGAATGTTTAAAGAAGTGTATTGCGTATGGGTGATGGAATAGCAGGTTCAGTGAAGCATTTTTTTTTTGGGCAGATTCACTTATGCCATCTTTACTATAAGCAGTTTGGATCTAAGGACTCAATATGCATTTTTATAGGAAAGTCCGTATTCATCAGCTATGCTCTTAGGAAATAGAGACTTGCAAGACAGAATCAGAGAACGTGCATTTACCTTTGTTACGGTTTTCAACAGCTCCATCTTGCTTTTTACCTGCCAGAGAGGGAAACAAGTTGTGTTTTAAGGTGAGTGTGCAGAATTAATTATTTTATTTATGTTTTTTTATATAATAACTACATTACTCTGCTAAAACAAGAAACTGCATTTAAAGAAAGAAAAAAGTAAAACATGTAAGTCAGCTCACAGAAACAGCTTATGGCACTTTTTGGACTTTTCCCATACAAGACTGCTGCAGTGTTATTGTACCATGGTTAAATTTGCACAAATTACTGATACTGACACGTCTGTCTTGTTAGGAAAGCTTTACAAAAGACTTCCTGACACATTTTTCTAGGAAAGATATTTGTGACAATTAAGCGATTCTGGTGGCCTCTGTCTTGTTGTGTTATTCCAATGCTTGTCACCAGTACCTCTGTAAATAAACTACAGGGTCTCACTTTGAGAATCAGTGCTTTTGTACAACACTGCAGAAGCTACTGTAGTGTAAAATATTCATAAATCCACAGCAAAGCTTAGCAGAGGTACAGCACTGGATTACTGGATCTATGCTAACCCTATTTACACAAACATGAGTATAATATGTAGGCAACATACCATATATCACTGTGAGAATAGCTCAAGTTCATAATAAAATATCACTCCTACCTGTGTTCAGAAATGGGGCTCAACGAGATCATAAAGAAGGACAGTGAAATAATGAAAGAATTTAACAAGTGAAATATTAAAAGTAGTTGAAAGACCAACACGTCACGTGTTTTTTTTGTGGGCTTAGCAAGTGACAAACCATATTTCTTTCTAAGTAGAGAAAGCAAGGATTATAATTACTGTTTGTGATAACTTGAAATGAAAGCACAAAATTGAGGAACTTAAAACAAAACCCAAACATTTTCAATATTACTGGTAGTTCACCAGTTCTTTGGCCTTAGGTTATGAAGATCAAAATTTGCAAGAGTATTCCAGTAGAAGAAAACCAAATTATCAAGCAGCCTGTCTGGCATGACATTGAATACTTCCACTACACCATTACTGTAGACATAGTCTGATTTCTATACATAAGATTCCTCCCAGCGTTCTCACAACAGCTGAACAGGAGACAGGAAAGAAAAAAAAAGAAAAAAGAAAAAAAAAACAACAAAAAAAGAGCACATGTTCACTTTCTCTGGAAGATGCCACCTCAGTTTTCTTAAGAGCTCATCATTGTTTCCTAATTTTGTATTTGTTTTCCCCTTGTTCCCTTCTTCCTCTTTCAAGAGCACAGTTCTACATTTGAGTTACTTGTAACTCCTTGTACATACATTTGCTTTCACTCTGAACCATGCCTTACACAGCCAGCTAAATATAGTCCCTTTAATCTCCTTAACATTCACAGAGAAGTTAATTTAGTTTAACCTGAGTTTTATCAAGGAGAATCTCATTAGGCACATAACTTAAGGGAAAGAGGAAGCTGTCTATCTTGGGAGACAAAAAAACCCCACAAGTGTTTGGGTCCTAGGATACACTATTTGACAAAGAGACTTCTTCTTTAGGAATAATAAACACTGGCAGAATATTAATAAAAGCTATAATCCTCTGCATCTCCCGTAGCAGCTGGTACTGTTTGTTTCTTTCTCCCTCCTCTGTGAAGGGAAGAGCACAGGATGGCAACTGTTTCACACTAATGACTGCAAGTGTCGCAGGGCAGCTTTTACTTTTCCTTATCATGCTTGAGCTTGAAACTAACTTAGAACATTCAATTTTTCTTGTAACAATTTTTCTAATTTGTAAGGAAATTTACTAGGTTTTTTTTCCAAGTTTCAAGAAGGGTCAGAATTGTAAATTATTTGTGGGTTAGGACAAGATCAAAAAAACTTCAATTCCATCCCCTGCACAGAGCACGCATTTTAGCAATTGCCTATTGAGTTTGAAGGTATCTGAGAATCTTAAACACATTTCTGTGTGAATTTTCCATCACTGTCTTGTACCCCTCTGATAAAAAATAGTATACTTTGGTTTATAATTTAATTTTTGGTTCTAGTGCCAAGAAGCCCCAGACGTAGTCTGATCCAGAAGACTTCATAATGGTTTCATGAAAAATTTTCACCATGAAGCTCAGTCCTGAACATGCCTTGTGAGCAGTACTATCAAAACATTACTGCTTAACATTTCTAAGTTTTGATTCTCAGGATAAAGGCTAAGGTTAGATAAGTGACCTCATAATAAGGAAGACAGCTCATTTCATTCTTCACAGAAGGGTTCCAAAATATGCTGTTGCAAGCCCCTCATCGTTCCAAAAACTAAGTTACAGGAAAAGTGTCATGAGGAATTTGCCTTGTGTATATCTCTGAGCATTCAAAATTTGAGCTCTAAAGAAAAGGAGTGGCAGATATGCCAAAATTCCACAGAAAATGTCTGCTCATTTTTTATCAAGGTCAGTCATACATGTTTAGGTTATCCACAGGATCAGCAGTATCAAAAACCTAAGCTTCTCCCTTTCCAGTGTTATAGAAGAGCTCCCTATAAGGGGCATTTTCTACTTCTCAAGTGCAGAACTAGATGCTTATAAGGTTGAACCCATAATAACTTGTTTTCCATAAACAAGTATTTGCTATTAGACATCAATGCACCTTGAAGTTACACAAGATGAGAGTTTAACTATTTATACATGGTATGTACGGCTGGTTAGGATTCGCAAACTTTCCAGACTCTGACTGATCAATGAGATCTGAAGTTTAAATAAATTCCATGTGACAAGAGTTATTTGAAGTGGTGTACTCTCAGGTCACTGGACCTAAGTTGTTTTTCCTATGAAACCTACAGAAGGCATGAGTTTTTAAAAAGGCTGTCTGGCTTTAGATTACTGGAACATGTTTTTGTCCAGTAATATTCAAAAGTTCATCACCAGCCCCACTCCCATCCCCCTGCCAAAGTATTTAAGATTAATATGCCTACTTTTCTTTTCCTTCTTTTCTTTTTCCTTCTCCTTCTCCTCTTCATCTCCTCCAGCCCCAAGTAAGGTAAAGATGATTCCAGTCTGAGAGTTCACCCCCACAGCAGTAACTACCATTCTTCCAGAACCTTCCATCACATGTGTACCTGAAAGATTGAATTGGGTTTTTCACTGAGACATGAGCAGTTATGTGGCAGAGCACACAAGTACTTTGAGGAAATAATCTTTTAAACTTGACTTTGATAAAACCGTGACCTGTGTATATGTACCACTGTGCTCCCCTAAAGCTTTAGTTGCCAAAGCAATCTGGAAAGTAAACCCATAAGCAACTACACAAAATATTTGTCAGTTTTATAGGTCTGATCACTCCAACAAAGTTTTGTACTTGATGGTCTGATTTGGGATAGTTCTAGGAGTCAACCTAGATAAAAAAACAATTTGCTAGTTTAACCTCAAAATTTTAAGTAACTAGCATACCATAGAAGCAAACTACTTTAAGCAGAAATTGTCAAATGCTACACACCTGACAGCAGCATAGGATCTCTGTCCAGAGATTTCTTAACATGATCAGATTCCCCAGTCAGCGAGCTTTCGTCAATTTTGAGATCATTTCCTTGAATGAGAACACCATCAGCCGGTAAAAGGTCACCTACGAGAGATCACTGGGTTTGTTGACTGCAGTTCCTTTTTTAAAAATAAAAGAAAGTTCAACTTTAAAAACATGTTTACCATATTTCACTTGTGCAATATCTCCAACAATTATGTCAGCTACTGGTATTTGGATGACTTGGCCACCTCTGATGACTGTGAATTTCTGCTCTTGTTCAATACGGCTCTGCAATCCCCGAAATTGTTTCTCTTTACTCCAGTCATTGAAAGCTGTTACTAATACCACACAAACTACAGATAGGAGGATTGCTGCTCCTTCAATCCAACCTGCTTCAGATTCCTCCTCTTCTTCACCAACATTTACTGATCCACATACTGCAGAAAACAGGTTTTAGATTTAAGTTCACAAAGATATTTCAACAATGAAAGTTTTGGCAAACAAAAAGCTTATAGTTGCTGAACATTTCCATGCTAACCTTCTTTGCAATTTTACCTTTATTTCCGTAAGGGTAACACACAAAGAAGCTAAAGAACCTGAAAGCTAGAGCAGCTTGAGGAAGTTAAACCACCCTGCTCACCTGAACACAAGAGAAATTGATACAGAGAAAGTTGCCTGTCCTTATTTTGTTAAATGATGACATAAGAATGCCAGACTGGTAAACAACATTCTGCTTTGTCAACATATCCCACTTTACATTCGCCTTAACAAACCAGATATCACTGCAAAAATTCAGTTAAATGAAGTCACAACCCCTTTATTTTCTGTTTAGAAATATAGTTTCATTTCTTAAATTATAAGGTTACCACTATCATATCACAAAATCAAGGAAAATTTAAGACTTGCTGACTCCCCAAAAAAAGCCCATGACTACAAATTATAAATTGCTTAAATATTTGAGGCAAAGCTAAAAAAAATCCCACTTGCACAGAGACTGGATTTCAAACAAGTCCTTGTTCCTGCTGCTTGCAATTTACCTTTGGTCAGAATAATTCCAGATCATGACCAAGGAAATCTCATGTTGCCCTTTTAAGGCATGATAGAGTTCTAGTAATGTGCTCTCAATAAGGAACAATAAGCTGCTTTTCCACTGACTTACTGTCTCCCATCAGATTTACAGTATAGGCATGTTGAACCAGGGAAGTCAGTAGTATGATAAAAGTAGATACCTACTTTTCAAAAAGTTTACTTACATGATTCATTTCCTCCTGGAGGCTGGTAAAAAGAAAGGCCCAAGGATACTACGGCTGCAATTTCTAATATAATTAATGTAACGTCTTGTAGTGCTTCCCATACTAACTGAAGAAATGTTTTTGGCTTTTTAGGAGGTATAAAGTTCTTCCCAAAAACTGCTTCTCTCCTTTCTATATCTGCTGGATTTCCACTTAAACCTATTTAACAATAAGATAAAGTTAGTGACACTTGCACACATTTCACCCTCACATCAGAACTGTCCCACTCATGGAATCAAGTCCCACTCCATATTTCAGTAACAATACCAAAAAAGCCACATCTCAAACATAACTACGTAAGTAATACCCTTAAATCAGAGTCACTATAGAAAGCCAGCTATATTTTACAATTCTCACCTTGCCAAAATAAAGCTGATGGTCTACCTGCTTAATATGTCACTTAATATGACATAGGAACAGAGTAATAATAACACACATACCTTCGTTCAAAGTAAACAAGTTTGCAAGACAAGATCATTAGTAGAGTTACTACTATTGAGACTGAGTAGCACCATAAAGCTTTAGCAAGACCACAGCCCGTGAAGGCAGCTCTGGTTCCCAGTGTAGGGATTCTGTATTCAGAGACAACATCCTAGGATCCTAAAAGTAATGTAACATTTATAATGAGATGTTTATTATAGTTAAAAATGTAACTATTATAATCATTGTATTTCAATATTAATTATTTTATAAAATACTATTAAAAGTAGTTGAAGCTCTGCAGGCATCATATGGAAAGATTTATGATGCTGCATCCAGCTGGAGTGGTGGTAGTTATTTGCTCTTCTGAAGCTTCACTTTCTATCTCCTCTCACACAGAGAGAGCCCATGTTTAGCACTATGCCAGGTCTGTCATCTCAGTTTTGTACCCATCCTCTTTCTTACGTGGCATATTTGAGTCCTTCTCTGTCTCAATTCTCGTATCATCCTTAAGGGACACTAGCAGACAAGAGTGAGGGGCCTACACAAAAGGCTACAGCATGTTTCAAGAGCTTGCCAAGATCTTAAAAATAAAGAAACACCAAGTGTTTTCAGTGCAAGGTCATGCACTCAAGGTCTTCTGTGAGCACACCTCCTGGCTACTCCTCTAGAAGTTTCCAGCTGACTAACCCACCATTCAGAATTAAACTACTAACTCATTTTTCCAATCAAAATTGCCACATTCAAGGCATGTTCAAAGCAAAGGTCTGGATATTTCAATCATACTGACCCCAAGGTTATGATCAGCACCAGCTTGAAGGCAACTATTTTCTTACTAGCAATTTTTTTAGTAGCTAACCCATCTGCTTAGTGATAAAGACATTGCAAACATACAAAGCAATTAAGAAGGGTAGCCACTGCAGCTGGCTTTCATAAAAAGGGGGGGGGTATTAAACACCTCTAACAGACATTTCTTAGAATCATCACATATTTCAGGACACTTTGAAAAGGCTACTGAACTGCAAAACTCAATTTTAAATGCTAACAACTTAACTGAAAAGCAAACTATGTGCAGATCTTTTCAAAAGTGAAATGAATTAAACATACTCTGAGTATATGATGAATTACATTTATTCTAACAGTCTTCGATTCACCTTGAACTCGTGACTTTGAAGGTTTAATACAAAGAAGCAATTGTACTCATTAGCCATAACCTTACACTTCTTGCAGTTCAAGCTTTAAGGTGCTTACTTTCACTCTCAACACAAAGAGCACTGCAAGTCTATTTTCAAAATCAAGCTATACATTACAGAATCTACAGAAACTCAGGACAGCGTGGTCATTCCAAAAGGCTGGGCCATATTGCTATTTTGCAAAAGATACTACTTCTCTATTCCTTTGACATGGCAGAGTCTGGAAACTTATTTATGTGATGTTAGCAACATCACTCTCTTCCTCCTTTCGCAGGGTACCACAGTGCAGAACATCAGAAGTGTACAGCAAAGTTCTTTGAAGATTGAAAAGTGTTTCCAAATGAAGCCTCATATATAAAGTCAAGCTACTAGCAGAACCATTTAGTGAAGATTAGTAAAAAAGCCTAGCACAGTCAAAAACCATTTGTATTTTTAGTGTACACTATAATACACCATGCACTATTACTGAACTTGCTTCATTTACCACACAGCTGGCAATTTCACAGTTCACAATCTACGGTCCTGAGATCAAAACTACTGCCATTACATTCTTCTGAATAATACCCAAGGGACTATTAATGCTTCATATCCAAATTTTATTAGAAATACCTGTATCTGTCCAGAATATGACAGACTTTTGCTACTAAACGTATGTCAAACATTAATTCTGCACATTTGTATACTTGCAAGCAGTAAAGTCTGCTCAGTGTGGTTTTTTTAAGTAATACTGGTAAAGCTCTGTTCCCATTTCTCATTTAAATCAGCTAAGTTTGATTGAAATATTCCCTGAAAACAGACGTTGCCTTACATTGTCAACAACTTCACAGCAAGAAATGGAATAAGCTGAACTCATCCACTGTGTACCATGTCAGAACCACCTGTACTTTTCCTGTGAAGCCACTAGTAATTACATAGTGGTAAGAGTGTCATGTCATAAAGAAAGCATCTGATTGGTAAAAACTGTCACAGGGCCTGGCAGATATACACACAAGGTTTTAGAGAGCTACTATTAGCCTAACACATAACAGTTTTCTGCAAGATCTGCCCTTTTTTCTATTAGTCTCCCTTTCTATACTTACAATTTGAATTTGACAAAAGTGGAGACCTTTACAAGAGCTCTCTGGTACTACCTTCCAAAAGTTTATAGCAGGTTATCTGACAGAGAGGTTGATTCTCTTAAAATTTCGTGTTGTGGTTTAGAGTCAAAATGACACCTCTGTTGGACACTGTTCTAACTCAATTAACCTCTTCTGAGCCTGTTAACATGCTCAACTGTTGAGTCTTTGGTGTGTTTATGAGCTTCTCTAGAGCACTTGAAAAAGGATGGTGCCCTTTATTAAGTCAATGACTGTATGTAACCGATTGCAGTGTACATGTAAATGTCAAATCCTTTTGAAAGTGAAAGGCCTTGATCACACAGCCCTCAGTACAGCACAACCAATCTGAAGAAAGGGCATCCAGCCCTTGAGTTTTAGTACGCTGACACTCATTGCACCCGTGCGTTAACCTGCATGTTTGTTACATTTAGAGACAAAGTGAATCCTGCAGTATATGAGCTATTTGGTGCCTAGTGCCCCATGGCTATGTAAAATCATATGCCCACCTAGCTTGCGGTAATAATGGGCCTTTAGCCTCGCAGATCACTGTACAACAGAATATAACTCTTGGTTCAACTCCCAGTTGTAGAAAACTACATCCCTTTTCACTGAGACGGGAAACTGCCTTTCAATGCTATGCAGCAGGTCAACAGGGTAACGAGAGCCTATTGCTCCTGAGAGGTGTTACACTGCTTATACACTACAGTGCTTCACACACATGCACTGTACTTTACAACTGCCAAGGAACAGAAGTTTGTACTCCTCATGTTTTACAAACTTCTTCATCCTGAAATTGGTCTGCTCCCATCCACTGGTAGTTCAGCCGTGTCAGCTGGCTGCTTTCAGTTTGGTAAGAGGAACCCAGTTCATGTACTGATAATTTCAGGAGTCTGCAAGCCAGGAGTCTGGCTTCAAAAGCAGATCAAGCTAAAACATGCTAAATGCAGATGTACCCAGAGGTACCTTACGGCATTAGTAGGCTGTTCTTGGTCCAAGAAGACAAATCTTTCCATAGCATTTCTGAAGAACAGAAAGCAACAGCTTCCCAGGATTAAGACAGCAGGTACTTTACTGCCACCAACATGACACCACATTGGTTAAAATCTATGTGAGTCCTTAAATGCAGAGACACTACAATTTGCCAAAATCTTGATTTTGGTAATTCTCAATTGCTCTCAACAGCAGGACTTTGCAATAAATTTCAGTTAATGTTTTTACATATTTTTTATTTAAGTACAGTTTACTGCAAGGACTACTGCATGTAGATATATCCACAAATATCCTTAATAGTTTTCATTTACATTGGAAGAAAGCAGTAAGAAAAGGCCAAGTCTTAAGAAGAACTTCTGGAAGGTTCTCAAGAAGGAGACCCAATAAATTTATTTTCTTATTTCTTTACATTTCTGCAGTCTATCCTGGAGTAATAACTCTAAATAGCAAAAGCATCATGTAGCCACACTTTACAGAATGCCACTAAGTCCATCATGGTAAAGACTCCATAATTGATGCTTATTTCTAGGGAATAAGATCGTGTAATCACTTTGCAAACCTTGCACTACGATTACAGGTTAATGCTTCAAGTTATAGTGACAGTTATTTTGCATAGATCAAATAAAATCTACAGAAATACTGCAGATTTAGAAACTAGATCCTGCTACTAAGAATTCAACATAGCACAAACAGAAAACATGTAATCATTTTTAAAAATTGCTGCATTAGCAAATCCAAGAACTAGGTAGCCGCACAGAAGCATTAATAAGCCCTGCATTAGATTATTAAAACCTTGAGCTCTACAACAGCATGATCTGAATTGTGAACTATAGGTCATATGAACTGTTCAGAAAACTGATGCTTTCACAGTGAGTTGAACACTGCTATGTTACACTGCTGTTTGATATGTGGATGTTTACATCAGTGAACTTTGTTCCAACTTCATTAATACAACATCTCACATGCAGTTAGACCAACTGAAAAAAAAAATCTTGCTTACTTATTACCATGGAATACTTCTGTCTTAAAGGAACAAGAAACAGTATTTTGTAATGGTAACTAAAATGCTTTTACAAACTTTGTTCTATAAAAAAAAAAAACAGTTTACTGACTAAGGCTTTTCCTGAATGGAGTTTCCTCGATAAGTTTTAAAATTTACTTACCTTCATTTGGTGAAGTTTTCAACTTTGTACAGATGCCATGTACATCACCATAGCATTCCTGTATTTTATGCAGTGCATCTGCAGCTCGAAGTTCCATAAGAGAACGGAGCTCTGCAAGAGTAACTCCAAAATCTCCATGATTAGCTTCTTTTACAGCATTTTTTACGCTGCTATATGCAACCGAGTTGTTTGCCATGTCACCCATGATGCATGCAGTCTTTAGCGCAGACAGTTTCCAGTAAGGAACGAAATTTCAACTTAAAATATTTCCAAAAGGAAAATAAATCCTTTGGGTATGAAGACAGTCAGGAGAGCAGACACATCACCCAAGAAAGAGAGCCCGTCTGGAGAGATATCTTTGAGGTTGTCCCATGGTGCGTTCTGTTCTCCAAAGCCAAAAAGCATGTACAGTCTAGGGAGAGAATAAACACACATTCAGTTACAGAACAGCTATACTGAAATGCATTGTAAAACAACCCTTACTCTTTTACTGAGGTTACAGAACAAATTTCTCTTTAATTTCCTATAACATTTTTAGTTTGCGTTCCGTGGGCAAGAGTGACAAGGAAGAAAATGGATGTTTCCCATCCCAAAACAGCCTTGCATTATTGGATTCCTTAAGTCATTAACTTTGTAACAACTGTTGCCTTTAACACTGGCATTTTCCTTCATATGTCCATATGGTTCATCATCAAGCAGCAACCTTTAAAAATACCTAAAATTAAATCTGTTTCCAGGGAAATGGGGCTTGTGGCATCCACAAGTGATGTCACATGGGGAAAGAACATGCTCAGGTTAAAAATCTCCACTTTCCAATGACACTCTCACCTCAGAGTTTGGGAAGAGCAAGCTATTTTGTGTTCCCATTAATTCATTTGTGCAAACCTCAAGAAAAACAACTTCAACACTGAGCTAGCCCATGCATGAAGTACTTTTGTATTCTAAGTAGGATTATATCTTCAGGCAGACCTGGATAAATTCAGGCAGCTCTTAATAAATTTTTTATATCCATACAGTTTTAGCTCTGCTCCAGCCCACTTCATCACAACTCAAGCCTCACACAGTATCTCCATTTAACTCTTTGAAGACAGGGAAAAATTGCACAATAGCACCTTTCCAGAGGAGGGATGAGGAGACTGAGAGCAGTTCTTCCATCTGATAATCAATGCATCGTAGCAGAGAAATTATCATCTAGCCACAGGACTCTGAACTTGCACAGGCATTCTATACATAATCCCTGCTCAGCTGACACATCTTGCATGTACACATGTAGCTACACAACAGTGCAGCGCACACACAAACTCCTCATGCCTGTGTGAAGATTTGTTATATGCCAAAACCAGACATCTGATCATGTAAGTCAGCATTATTGGCATAATGGAGTGCAATGAGCATGTGTAAGGATATATTCCCCCACAGGACATGGCTCCTAAGTTCAGATGAACAATAACTTGGACACTTCCAGGTCAATGAGACCCTCAGGTGTCATATGCCTAGCAAAGGCAAAAATACAAAGGCAAAGCATCAGCAAACAAAACATTTCTAGCTATTTCCCTGCCAGGTTAGTGGACTGTTTGGCTGAAGTGCCAAGTCTATGTTGAAGTAAAGGTATAAGCACCCAATTACCAGAAATTTAAGGTCTTGGTTCCAGGAAAGACTCAGATTTCTGCTCTGGTAATAATCAGTTGCAGCTATACTAAATCTACCATTTAAAGCAGCATACCACAATACTTCATTTGCTCTGAGAACAACCACTGATACTGCAAGCCCCTGAACTGATGTCACCTGACCACAAGTGGCAGGCCCATCTCTGGCAGAGCTACAACTTCTACAACTGCAACTGCTCTTCTCTTCCTGTCACAGGAGATTCTGAGAAAACCACTGTCCTTGGCTGTTTTCCAGAGAGTCACAAAAAGCAGAAAGCAATCAATATTCACATTCATAAAACTTCCAACATTCCAACATCAGAAAAGTTCTTAATTTAAAAATTAATTTCAGATCTTCATTGTTTTCTCTGTTATTTGCAAGAAAATGTTGCAACAGTTGAAGAGTTCATGATGATGCTGTTAGCCTGCATACTAGGTTGCAGGTTTAATTAGGACTCTAATGAGTTCTGTTACAGTATCCTGCCAGTGAAGAATTTCATGCAAATCACGTATGAAAGAGTTTTCTTTAAAGACATGCCACATTCTTATCTAATGCCCAAAAGCTGGATGTTGTTGTCCAGCTGGGAGCCTAGGAGGATTTATCAGCTGGCATCTGATCATAAGCTATGACAGTGTAACAAGAAGCAGATCAGGCAAATGAGTTTGTATAGCTATGGAGAAGATGCTGCAGCTGCTAATTAGGCAAAAATAGACCAAGCAGAAGGCCCCACAACCAATTGCATCAAACTTGATTCAATTTTAATTAAGAAAAGCTCTGTTCAAGCCTCTAGCAGGAGCCCAGTACTTGATGCCCAAATACACCCAAATCCAGGAGAAAAGGATATGAAAAGCTACAGGTCTAGTCACTGTTCACTTGTCATCAAAAAGTTTTAAGACTTTCTCTCTCCATATATACGCATAGAGTTGGCAAAATGTGCTTCCATATGCAATTAAACCTAAGAGTAATAACTCTGCTTAGTCATAATTCAGTGTGCTCTGCACTCCTGCTCTAGCCTCTCTATGCATCTATATCAATTCTTACTAATAAATAATAATCCAGATTTGTCATTAATAAGTTTAAACTGAAGGGAGTCCTCATGTGCTCTAAGTGCCATCTAACATACCAATGGGCCCTTAGGGTTCACAGGCAAATTCAATAAGTATGCATTAACTACAAAAACAGTACAGTTCTACAGATCAGCTCTAGTAGTGATACAAATTATTTGGTACATCCATGTTAGTAAAGTATGTGGAAAATTGAAAAGAACAGTGTGAAGACTTCAAATTCTGAATACTGAGCAAGTGCAAGATGAAGATCATAAAAATTTATGAAAAAAGCTTATAAATATTATCAATTTTTGCACAAAATCAGACCAGGATCTGCTTCAGTAGTCATTTTTACCAGACATGTCAACAGAGAGCACAACATACCTGTCATACAGGTACAGGATGGACTTGCTACTCACCTCAAACTTCCAATCTGTTAATATCTCAAGTTTTAAATTCAAGAAACGGTTATCAAACTAAAACTCATTTGTATACCACTGCTGAAGTTCCAGCCTATTTAAAGTTTCATTCAGTTGAAGTTTTGTCTTAGTATCCAGCTTAAACAAGCTGCATACAAAAAATAAAGATGTCTATCTTTTATTAGACACATCAACTTTTGCATAATCCTTTATCTGACACTTTGTTTATCTCTTTATATGACTGAGACAAGGAATAACTTTAAAATCTATTCTCTGTCACACTCAAGTGACTAAAAAGCTTGAACTGCAGAGGCACATTTCAGTAGCAGCACATGCTCTCATAGGTAGTATTATTCAGATACTTATATAAATCCCTCTGAGAAGACCTTGCTGCTCTTTGGCTGTAGCAACTTTACTGACACATCATATCATTGTAGCTGCTTATGAGAAGCAACTTCCTCACCCAAATCAAATTACTATTTATTGCTAAGGGACTGTGTTTTGCTACCAAAGACACTAATTCAAACCCATAACCCATTAAACAAAGGTTAGACAACTTTACCAGTGTTGGAAGTTCAACAACATCACAAGTTTCTGTAGCTGGACTGGAGAAAGGAAAAGCTCTAAACAGGAGTCTACACGTAGAGATGCTTGCCAAAGTACAGAGACTATAGATTACTTGTCTGTTTAGGGCTACCAGAACAGCCTGTGCTGACCAAATTAGAAGCTGCAACATGTTTTGTGAAGTGTTTTTGTGGTGGTGGCACAATTACTATTGCCCGGATGCATTGGACCTAGCATACCATAGACCCCTATCCAAGCCATTCCTATGATTGTATTTACATTTAATACTTGCTTCACTAAGCTACAAGGAAATACAGTTTTCCTAATCAATGTTAAAACACTTAAGCACACTTACACCTCAAGAGTCAAAGCTTCAGCAATTATAAATCTTGTGTTTTTCAATTTAATTTATACATCTGCTTGAACAGTATGCATTGAGATATTGAGCATTAGCTGGTAGCATTTGACCTTCAGCAACACACTAAAACTGGGTCCTGTAATATAGGAAAGGGCTTGCAAAGTGATTATCTCAGGAAAGCCTTTGTTTAATCTAATTAGTTCAATGAATGCCAGACAGATCTGCATACCAAGAAGCTGTTGTGATAAAAACTGTCCCCATATGTTTCAGCTGTCATGCCTTTTAACCTGTTCACAGCTTCGAAGATACTGAAAAAACATAATATGCTTTTGCATACTTTGGGTGTGACCCACAGCTTCAAGCCATCACACAACACTGCAGGGGTGGGGGGAAGAAAGAAGGGAAGATGTCTGCAATATTAGTTATAATGGAATATTATTACAATGAAAAGTAACTGTGACTGAGAAAGTAACCCGGAAATCACACTGAAATTGACTGAGGTCTTGTGCTCTGAAGGGTCAAACTTTTTACTGTAAGAGACAGATTCTCCCACCTACTTGACAGTAGCTCCCTGGCTGTTTCACAAGGAATATGAATGAATGCTAATGAAGCAAAACGTTAGTACAGAACAGTATGCATTTACAAGTCACTACTCTGGTAAGTTAAAATGTGCCTACCTGAACGAATAGGAGTTAAATAATTTCAGTGCTATGCTGTTGTTTTAGATCAACCATCCCAGCCTGGTTTATGAAGAGACAAGTACAAGTAGACTGAAGGACTAAGAGGCAAAGGGCACAAACAAAGTTTTTAGCATATCATCTTCAGCCTTAAATATGCCCCAACAGTGCTGTAATGACAAGTTTCGGTTGTTACAGCTTATGTGCTATAAATGGTGAATTTATCATAGGTCACGACTTTTGCTTAGTTTTCAAAGAGAAATCTGATTTAATTCTGAAGCTTAATCTCCTGGGAGGCAGATGTACTTACCTATCTGAAATAAAAACTGTCCTAGATACTGCATTTGATCTAAACACTGGTATTGTCCCTGCTCATTGCAGGGAGGTTGGACAAGATAACATTTAAAGATCCTTTCAAACACAAATTATTCTGTGATTTATGGCACTTAATCTAAGGCATTTCTGCTGCCTACTGTGATTGACACTTGCAGAAACTGTTTCATCCTTTGGTGGTTTCCTTCTTTTAATACCTCAAAATTTATTTCTTATTGAAATGATAGCAAACAAATTAGGACTTCAGTAGTCTGAAGTCAGTTTGGTAGTAGTATAAATTAGCAGTGTTCACACACAGGTTCTGCATCATTTTCCTGCTATTTTGGCAGCAGCAAGGAAAAATTGTACAAGTCTTGAAGGTGAGTTAT